AGGCAGGAGAATTTCTTGAACCCAGGAGGTAGAGGTTGCAGTAAGCCAAGATCACACCACCACACTCCCGCCTGTGTGATGAGACTCCTATCTCGAAAGAAAGTGAGAGTCAGTGGTTTTTAGTATGTTCACAGAGTTGTGCAACCATCATCACTATCTAAGTTTAGGGTATTGTCATCATCCCAGAAAGAAACTCTATACCCATTAGCAGTTACTTTCCACTCCCCACTCCCACCATTCTCTGGAAACCACTAATCTACTTTCTGTCTCTGTGGATTTGCTTAGTCTAGAAATTTTATATAAATGGAAGTATGCAACATTTGGCCTTTTGTGAATGGCTTCCTTCATTTAGCCTAATGTTTTCAAGGTCCATCCATTTTGTAACATGTATCAGTGCTCCATTGTTATTTATTTCTATTATTTTATTACATAGATATGCCATATTTTATTTATTCATTCTTTACTTGATGAACATTTGGGTTGTTTCTACTTTTTGGCTTTATGAACAATAATTCTAAGAACATTTTTATACAAGTTTTTGCATAAACATGTGTTTTCAATTCTCATGAGTGTCTATGTAGTAGCAGAATTGCTGGATCACGTGATAACTCTATGATTTACATTTTGAGGGAACTGCCAACCTGTTTTCCAAAGTTGCACAATGACTAAGAAAACCAGAACTTGACAGTATTTAAAGCAGTAAAAGCAGATTGTATTCAGGGTTGCAGGAGGGGAAAAGAGACCCCAGTATAGAACTGAGCTCAATTCTGAATACAACAAGGAAAAGTTGTTTTTTTTTTTTTTTTTTTTTTTTTTTTAAGATGGAGGCTCTCCAGGCTGGAGTGCAGTGGCACAATTTCAGCTCACTACAACCTCTGCCTCCTGATTTCAAGTGATTCTTCTGCCTCAGCCTCCTGAGTAGCTGAGACTACAGGTGTGCACTACCATGCCCAGCTAATTTTTGTATTTTTAGTAGAGACGGGGTTTCACCAAGTTGACCAGGATGGTCTTGATCTCTTGACCTTGTGATCTGCCCGCCTTGGCCTCCCAAAGTGCTGGGATTATAGGCATGAGCCACCACGCCCAGCCAAAATGGGAGCTTTATAGCCAGGGAGCAGAGTGAGTATGTGTGTATCAGTGGATTGAAAATTACTGAGAAGATAAAATGACCTAACAAGATTCTGGCTGAAGGTGGGCCAGAGTGATTAGATATCTCCTGGGGGAGGGTTAGGGAATTTGGTCAGATATTGAGGGTGACCAGAAGGGTGAGAGATTGTAGCTAAAAGATTCTTTTAATGGGATGATGCAAAGATGGACACAAAGTTTAAAAGTTGAGACCTATTTGGGAAGAGGATTTTGAGGAGCCTGACTAAAGTTTGGTCAAAGACATATACATTCTTTGTCATACCCAAAACAGGCAATCTAGGTATAGTGCTTTGTCTCAACTTTGTTAGCAAGGATGCTTTCCTTAATTTCCCTTAAATTCTACATAGTGACATTTCATTCCACATCCAGTGGATCTTTGTTGACATGGTGTTGGATGAGCTGGTATATAGCGTATGAAGAAATTTCATGAAGCTGTCAAAGCTGCTTTATTTTCTGTTTCATGCTTACATATTAGTGTTAGTTTCTTTCTTTTTCTTTTTTCTGTTAGATCTACATGGAAAGATTTGGCAAGTCTGATAATTTAGGCCTCTGAAAACCTCATTTATGCTATAAATAGTAAAGGGCAACATCATATGTTATTGTAGGATTCACAGTTTAGGACACTTGGTCTCATTTTGGTAAATTACTGTTTCTATTATAAATGCATATTTCAAAAATAATGAATTCTTTATTATTATTATTTCCTTTTATAAGAAGCATTTCCTTTTTGTCTCAGGGTAGATAGTGGCTCTGATCTAACTAAGCTGTTTTTGTTACTATTATATTATCTCACTTACTGAAGTACAGAGTAATTTATTTACAAATTAACCAGCAATGGCTAAGAATGACTTAAACTTTCTCACAAACTGTTTCATCCTGTATTTTCTGCTTTACTACCACCTATCTGCAATATGTTACACATCTTCAATTAATGTAATTCAAATTTATTTTTATAATTGAGCAGTACTCCTGAAAGTAACTGACTGTCTTGGGGAGTTGAGAATCCAGATTTGTTCCTTATGCTATTAGAAAAATGAAGGCCTCCTCTTAGCAACTGAAACAGAGCTTCCTAACCTTCACCAAGGTTAACTGCATCCTTTTTTGTGAAGTGAGCAACTAACGTGGTGTGACAGCTCTCATTGTATAGGCTTTTATCACAGGAAGTAGATTCAAATGATTATAATTGCTTGGGTTATATTAATATTCATGGCACATGCCTCTTACCGTATATGGCACTCATTCTCTGGGTATTTAATTAATATGCCATTTTGCCTTTCATTTTGTCGTGGGGAGCCATGATTTTAGAGGGTGTGAAACAGGGAGCAGCTGGGGAAAGAATGAATACCCAGAACCCAGTGCCAGGATTAACATACTGATGCAGATATTCTGAGAAGGGATCTTTTGAGGCAGGTTAAAAGGAAATGCCAAGTGGAACCAAAGCAGATCTTGCACTGGCACGTGATGGTAGTCAAGGAGGTGCTTGGCTTCATTCTGCTGGGTTTTGCTCTCGGATTGCCAGCTGCTTCAAGCCAGCTGCTTCAGCACAGCTAAAATGAAGGAAAGGATATTATCACTATATATTTTGTATGTGAAAATCTGCTGGTAGTTTCTAAAGCTTAGAATGTTGACAGTAGCCTGTAGATGAAAATTTAAAACTTAATGATCTAAAAGGCAAATATATCCTTCCTCCCTTTGCAGAATTATTTTTAAAAGATTGTGGCTTGCCTGTTTGGACAATTTTTAGAAGACAGGGGAAAATTTTTTTTTACTTTTTATTATAGTATGATTAGATATAATCAAATTTTAATAAGTACATTGCACAATGAATTTAAATGGGCATACAGTATAACTTTTAAGTTTTCTGGAGGTAGATTTTGCAGAACAAGGAAGTAAATACTGGAATTTAAATGCCATCTTCCAACGGACATTCCAAATAGGAACTTGATATATAATTCAGTTTTTCTCCTGTGCTGTCAATTGTCCTATTACATCATAAACCTGATGTCTAGCAAGAGACAATAGCACTCATTTTTGTTTTCCTTTGGTTGATTATTAACTGTAAGATCTCCCTAACTTGTTACTTCTGTGGAGATTTTGGGTGCTCATGGAGAGACAAGTACTTAAGAGCTTTAGTAATTGATATGAACTCACCAGGTGCGTGTGGAAGCACAGTTTGGTGTATGGTTTACCACAGTGCCCCTCTTGAGCTTTGCCCCAGGTCCTACTGTGTAATTTAGGCTTTTTCCTTTAGTTCAGTGCTTCTCAAAAGCCCTAGAGACAGAGATGGGAATGGATGTCCTTGGAAGCTGGACCACAGGCAAAAGCAGCTTACTGCTGAAATACTTTACCCTTGAAGTCATTTTAAATTAGGTTGATTTTGCACTTTACCCTGCAATATATCCATGATTACCTTAATCTAAAATAGTTAATTTTCTAATCACCAAGTGAAATTGATGCTTTAGAAAGGCATGGCATATTTAAATTGGGGCTTCTTGATGTTACTTGTACCTGCTTTGGAGAATCGTGGACTTAGCATGGCTTTAGGGAAAATTCTTTTAGTCCTTTCTTTGAAATGGAACTGATAGGTACAAAGAACTTTGAGGACATTTGGTGGTAGAATTTGGTTAATTAGCAGCTTGTTTCAGCTTTCTACTCTTACTGTTATGAAAAGAGACCAGACTGAAAGTCCAGTGAGTTCTAGACCTGGTTCACTATTAACTTGTGATGTTAGACAAATTATTAACATCTTCAGGCCTGTGTCTCATCTGCAAAATGAGGGGATGAACCATAAGATATAAAGCACCATTTTCCAAAGTAAGGTTTGTAAATGATTACTTGCAAGATATATTCTAAGGGTGGTTGTTAGGGAATGGGAGGAGGGGAAGATGGAGAGTTGTGGTTTAAAGGGTATAAAGTTTCAGTTTTGCAAGATGAGAAAGTTCTGGAGATTGGTTGTACAACAATGTGAGCATATTTAACGCTAGTAATTTGTACACTTAAAAATGATTAAGATAGTAAATTTTATGTTATGTGCATTTTACCACAATTTAAAAACTATATTCTAAAAGCTCCATCTTTAAATAAATATAAATTTGTATTACACCTTCCTCCTAGAGAATGACACTGCATTCAGTATATTCAAATGTCTTAGACATTCTGCGCTTAAAAAAAAAAACCTTTTAAACTTTAACCCAGGCTTGTCAAATTTCTTCTCCCAATTAATTTAGTATCTCTTAATATCCTATGGAACGTACACTTGAAGGAATCCCATTTGGGAAAAAGTGGCCTGAGGTCTTTCCAGTTCAAATATGTTTTTATTCTTCAAAGACACCATATGAAAATATGGGATATGCCAAAGTAAGGTCTTTGATAAAGATTAATTCAGGCCTTTGCGAACTTGTCCACATCATGGCATGTACAGAAAGCAATAATTGTATGGCACACTGGGGTAAACCGCCAAGGTGGCTTATGGCTGAGGAGTGCAGTAACTCAGTTACACCCTTGAATAAACATCTGTAACAAGGTGTTTAAAAAGTTATCACTGGGGAAGCTGTATGAAATAACTTGTTCTTCAGATGCTGTTAGTTAGCATGTTTGGCCTGTCAGAAGCATTAGAGGCAGATCATACAAAACTCTATGCTATTTGGTTTGCCTTGGCAGCAACTTATTTTCCACATTAGAGAAACCAGAAACTCTTCTGATTACATATAGCTGTGGATATTAGTGGTCATTAGACCCAACTGGCAATCCCTCGTGGTATGAGAGTGTGGGATAAGAGGTTTCCAGGAAGATAATACTCTTCCACAGTTTATTTAATATATTCAAATGATTAATGCAACAGCCTCCTATTTTTAAAGCTGAATAATTCTCATTTAATGGTGGAAGTTGTTTCAACTGCACATTTCCTAGAGGAACAAGTATTTGGTGTAGTAATAGGGATTGGATGTAGGGAGAAAAAGCATATTTGTATTAGTACATTCTTAAATAGAGCATAGATCAGTGGGTGAGATCAACATTTTTCATGCTTGCAGCCTTTTTCTGAAGTCATCCTCAGTTCCTCCTTTCTATTCTTCAGTTGGTATCATTCTTTAGTATCACATCTTCTGAACGGCTTACTTAAAGATTCTAGACTGACAGGAAAAAAAAATCAAGAAATAGATTAGATTTGGCAATGACCTACATCATTCTTCAGTTAGTATTTGCATTCAGCTCACCCAGAAACTAAGCAGTCATGATCCACTTAGTAATAGATATTTTGATTTCAGAAATGCCAGGTCTTCCCCAGATTATCTTTTGTACTTACTGCCATTTTCCTCTTAAAACAACTTTTTTTGGCCTTACTCTTTACTGTCTTCTCTGAGAATCCTATTAGAGTTTATGATTTAAAACTAGATGTAAAACTACATCCTTGCTTAGTGTCAGGCAGCCACTGTGCAATCCTATTGACAACCTATTCTGGGCTTTAGAGCCAGAAGTTTAATTACCACCTATTGAGCAAGTTTGATTAGTCACTTCTTGGATTCTGGCCAGGCAGAGCTAATTCCTCCTAGCAGAGCAAGGCTGGTGGGCAGGAGCCAGAATTGAGAAAGTGATGCAGTCACTTCAGCTCCTCTGGCTTCAGGTGTGGATGAAGGGAACTAAGTGTGCCAGATGAAGTCCAAAGTCCAAAGTGGCACACAAACATGAGGGGCAATAAGGGCGCCTGGTAAACCATGCAAGAGGGAGTCTCAACAAAGAAAGGGGGAGCATGGTGACCAGCAAGGAGCAAGGGCTTGCAATTTTCAGAAGTCCAGGCAAGCTGTGCTGGCACCAGACAAGAAGCATTGGGGCTGGGCTTCAGTCTTTGAAGAATAAGACTGGCAGCTGGGATATTAAGCAGTTACTGGAATGAGACCTGTAAAAAAGGGCAGAAGAAAATCAGTAGTAACAACTGGAAGAAATTCATAGACTGTTTAATCATATCTGCAGGGCTCCATACAATCTAATACTGTGGAGTATTAAATGAATGAGATAGATTTAGAAATAAAAAACCATCCATGATATATTAAGGAAAATTCAAAGCATAGTATATTACATAAGCTGGTAGTGAAAGGAACTTTGGGATGTGGTAATGTAGAACTTTGTTTAGATTAATGATATGAACACCTTAGGCATACTTTACAGGGACAGATATACTTTGTTTGCCTTTTTTTCATTCATCTATCCCAAGGAAGGTCCACAGTTATTGAATAGTAACTGCCTAAAATGACAACATGTCTCTGGTACTCCTGAAAAGAGGCAGCTTACTGTGGAGGGCAATGTGAGTGGTTAGGGGCACAAACTTTGGATCCAAACTACGTGGTTTTAAATCTTGCTTCTACTGCTGACTACTCCTATGACTCTGAATAAGTACTTAACTTCACTATACCGGTTCCCCATCTGTAAAAGGGGGACAATAGTAGTACATATCTCAGAGGGTAGTTATGAGAATTGAGTAATCATATTTTAAAAATCTGTGGAAAAGGCCGGGCGTGGTGGCTCACACCTGTAATCCCAGCACTTTGGGAGGCCGAGGCGGGTGGATCATGAGGTCAAGAGATCGAGACCATCCTGGTCAACATGGTGAAACCCTGTCTCTACTAAAATACAAAAAATTAGCTGGGCACGGTGGCGCGTGCCTCTAGTCCCAGCTACTCAGGAGGCTGAGGCAGGAGAATTGCCTGAACCCAGGAGGCGGAGGTTGCGGTGAGCCGAGATCGCGCCATTGCATTCCAGCCTGGGTAACAAGAGCGGAACTCCGTCACAAAAATCTGTGGAAAAGTATCTGGCCTATAAATAGCCCTATAAATGTTTGTTAAGCAAATACACAAAATACATACTTTCTTAGCTTCCAGGAATCTGTCAGGAACTAACCTTAGACTTCTTTTCATCTCATGTGGATGTTGGTCTCGTGGAACATTGAACATTTCTTAAAAAGTATTGTTATAAGCACTGTGGAAAAATAATAGCTAAAATTATTATTATTATTATTATTATTTTCTTCTTTGAGACAGAGTCTCACTCTGTCACTAGGCACCAGACTGGAGTGCAGTGGTGCAACCTCGGCTCACTGCAACCTCCGCTTCCCGGGTTCAAGCATTTCTCCCGCTTCAGCCTCCTGAGTAGCTGGGACTACAGGTGCGCGCCACCACATCCAGCTAATTTTTTTTGTATTTTTAGTAGACGGGGTTTCACCACGTTGGCCAGGATGGTCTCGATCTCTTGACCTCGTGATTTGCCCGCCTCCGCCTCCCAAAGTGCTGGGATTACAGGCGTGAGCCACCGCGCCCGGCCAATAGTTAAAATTCTTATCAGCAGATCATTGAATTGGAGTTTTGAGCTCAATCCTTTTGAAATTAAGAAAAAAATTACACTAGTTACTTTAAACTGGCTGTTCTATATGTTTGTGCTCTAATGATATAGAAAGTAGATATTGTTATATGATTTCCTATATACAATTAATCTAGGCCGGACATGGTAATCCCAAAACTTTGGGAGACCAAGGTGGGTGGATCACTTGAGGCCAGGAGTTCAAGACCAGCCTGGCCAACGTGGTGAAACCCTGTCTCTATTAAAGATAGAAAAATTATCCAGGTGTAGTGGTGCACACCTGCACTCCCAGCTACTTGGAAGGTTAAAGCGGAAGAATCACTTGAACCTGGGAGGTGGAGATTGTAGTGAGCGGAGATGGTGCCAATGCACTCCAGCCTGGGCAACAAACAGAGTGAGACCCTGTCTCAAAAACAGAAAACAGAAAAATGAAACCAATCTGCTATCTTGTTTAGAGAGCTGGTCTTTCCTCCCTCATAGACAGTGCTTTGGCAGTTAGGAAAAGTAAATCACACCAAAACTGTTTATGGTGACCCCCCCTTACTCCACACACTGTGAGCTAGTTAGAAAGGAAATAATGCAATTTACAAATATCTGTGGGTGGCCAGGCCTGATTAGTACATGAAAAAGAAAACTTGTTAGATACACTGGGACTTCAAATAATGAGGCAGAGTAATAGGATTTGTTTTAATAAGATTTTGAGAGATTAAACCTCCTAAATCTTTGTAATTCTATCAGGTAACATTAAGGAAACCAGCACTCCACAACATAAACAATGGTGTTCTGTATAGAACCCCTGCACAGTTAGATGTGATTGGCTTCTCTTAAGACATTGAGCTGTAGTTAGTTGACTGTTTGTTTGCCAGTAAGTAGTGGTGCTGTGGTAAATAATGCCCTTTTTTTGTATTTGTACTCTTTTTGGTACAGATGTACAATCTTGTAGAGTGATTTCAAATTAAATTAGTGTTGCAGCTGAACTATGTGATGCTATCACAGTTGGATTAGTGGGTGAATTTAGTAATTTTGAGTGCAGTTCATCCTTTCTAGCTTAAATCCGAGTAACTGAATATTTAAAAATTATCTTTTGGTGATATAAGTGATAGCAGTGGTATACTAATACGGTGAGGATACTTTTTATCCCTTCCTAAGGATTTTCGTGAGGAATAAAGATGAAAATAATTACTCTAAAACATACTGTAAATCTATTAGAATATATCCTATTCATGAAAATTTATACTAATGATCAATATCCTTAATGTCACCTAAGTATATAAGCACTCATAGTTCAAAGGTTTATTTTTTCTTATTTTAAATATATATTATATGCCATTGAACTCAACATAGTGACAATTTTTACTCTGTTCCATGGTAGAAGCTGTACCTATAGAAATAAAGGAGTAGAGGTAGGTAGAAAAGGATTAGAATAGGAGGTAGAGCTAGATCATGCAGGGGCTACACATTTCTTTGCTCCCAAATTAATATATTTGGACTAACTGGAAGACTAAGAAGTTCAGCCTCTCAGCATAGCCCATTGTTTTCCTGCTGTCCACGTCTCTGGATGTTGGGAAGAAGTAAGAGAAGGAAAGATATGTTTCTTTGCTCTCCTCCGCACTGTACTTTCTCCTGCTCCCAGACCTGTCTGCGTGAGGCCTGAACCAGTGTGAAAAAGGGAGCTGGAGAAGAAAATATATCCTCTCATCTCTGCCTGTGGGGTTTTCTAGAACAGTTGCTTCATAAATTGCAGAGGATTTTTATAACTCAATAATTTATCCTAATCTTCCTTAGAAATGAGAGAATTTCAAGATACTCATTTTGAAAACAGCCCAATTGCCCCATAGACTGTTGTTTTTGATAAACATAGAAATGGACCCTTACGGCATTAAAAAGGTTGAAACTTATATTTGAATTTCTCTGAGTTCCTTCCTCAAGGAATGACCTTTAGGCCTCATAAAAAGTATCAAAGAATTGAAACCAGATCACTGCACCATATGTCAAGAGATTCCCTTGTTCACCATGTTTGCTTCTTTGCCCCTCCCAACTCTCTGTTTTCTTATACATTGTTACATTACTTGCCTGATATATAAACCCCTGGTTTTAGTCAGTCAGGGAGATGGAGTTGAGACTGAGCTCCTATCTCCTCAGCTGCAGTACCTGATCAAAGCCATCTTCCTTGGCAATACTTGCCATCTTAGTGATTGGCTTCTGTGTGGCAAGCAGCAGGACCTAGACCAAAAAACCTCTGGTGTTTCAGTAACAATTTAGAAAATAGATTATAAAACAAAGGTACAGAAAGTATCTTGGTAAATCTGTGGTGAAACTGAAAGTAGATTTTTCATTTCCAGATTATCAATTTGGGATTTAGCTGATCAGGATACCAATTTACAAATTAGCCAGTCCAGTATACGTGTATGTATACACACACACCCAAAACTTCTTAGTATTTCTTATTAGTGAGGTAGGATGTTTCCTTGACTCTTCCGTGGGACTCGCGACAGGGGTGCCTTGTTTATTTAGCCCACTGCTCTCAACTCCTCCTGGGAGGGATTGTGTGAGCAAATGAGGTAGGAACTGGATTACAGGAGCACTGGAATCAGCTGGCCGCTTGGGCACCAGTAAGATCAAACTCCACTCACTTGGACCGACTGTATTCCACCCCTTGTGGGAGGAAGCATGCAGGTGAATGGGTACAGGAGCTGAAGCGAGCATTTTGTACACTGGCAGGAGCAAACTCTGTGCAGGCCCTGTAGCAGCATCCAGGCAGAGTGCCTGTGACTTCTGAAGCCCCAGGAGGCATGTTGCAGTACTCTTTTAGCTCTGCGGTACATGGGTGGCTTAAGTGTTAACAGCTCAGAGGGCCCTCCACCCTTTTGTGTAAGGTGGCTGTTCTCTGCCAGCAAGAGCAAAGGGCCAGTGTGATAGCCTCTTGTATCTGCACTCATGGCTCCTGAGCTATTGTCTGGCATCCAGGAGAAACGAGGTTGCACAAATGAATTGGCTGGTAAATTAAGGGAATTTTTATTGACGATGAAAGTGGCTCTCAGTGGAGGGAACAGGAGGTAGGTAATCTTCCCCTGGTATCTGGCTGTCTCCAGCCAGATTTGTCTCTGAAGTTAAGCCACTTCTCTCCAAAGTCCACCTATAGCCTCTTGATGTCCAGCTGCTTCTTTTCTCTCTCTCTCTCTCTCTCTCTCTCTCTCTCTCTCCCTCCCCCCCCCCCAACCCCTGCTGGCTGAGTCTGGGGTTTTTATAGGCACAGGATGCCAGGTGGGGCAGACAATGGGCAGTTTAGGAAAAGGCAACATTTAAGTGGGAAAACAGGGATATAAGTTCCCATTTTGGGCCATGGTTTTAGGTTTTTCAGCTTGAGGGTGGGGCTTCTCCATGGACCTGCACTTTTCTGCCTAGAACTTCTCTGCTTTCTGGCTCCATCATTAGGAATTCTGAGTGATTTATAAATATTGTTTTATTTTCTATAACATCACTTAGAAGAAGGTGGAAGTATAACATAATACATCTCTGACAAGGTATGGCTAACACACAAACTTATTGGAGATCTTAAAGGACTGTCCTTGAACCAGAGAAAGAGTTACATTTAGGAATCCAGTAACTCTGCTTTTATGCTGCTGCAGACATTGTATTAAATAGGTGTTATAATACAAGTCATAATAGCCCCAGATGAGAATTTCATAGAGTATGACCATTTAGAATGGGTAATATTTAGTAGTAGTAATAATAGTTATTATAGGCAGCATGTGGGTTTGCCTCATTTTAAACAAACTTGAAAAAATGCATATGTTATCAAATTTTTGGAATTTTGCCACAGTAATCAAAGTAGATTTGAGTTCTGTTGTGAAAGAGATATTGGTTTCTTTCTTTTTCTTTTTCTTTTTCCTTTTCTTTTTCTTTTTCTTTTTTTTGATTCAGGGTCTTGCACTGTAACCCAGGCTGGAATGCAATATTGATTTCTAAGAACTCTTATTTATTAGTGAGATTAGCCCTTTGTGATTGAGTTGCAAAAGTTTTTGGATTTTTCGCTTAAATGCTATGCTACATTTGTCATTTGTCTTAGAGGTGAAAAGAGCCTTGTAGTCCAAATCTGTCAATTTATAGATAAGAAAAATTGACCCAGAGACATTAGGCTATTAGCCTGAGAGAAAGCAAATCTGACCCTTAGATCTTTTCTAGGAAATAGGGTTCCATGTGGCTAGAATGGACTGAAGGACAGAGAAAAACTCATAGTTGCAGCCATGTTCATGTAGTAGTTTTATACAGCTGGCACTAAATCCAAAGCATAGCTTGTAACTCCTTGATGTTGAGAAAAGTGCAGCTGAGCATTTAAACAATTTAACAGAAGAGTAGAAAAGCAAAGATTTCAAAAACTGTAATTGTATTTTTACAACCTTAGTTTTAGGAGCATTGCTGATTAATTGCTAATTAATCCTTCCATCTGGTGAAACAGATTAATAGCATGTATTGGATTATAATGTAAGCATTGTGAATCCAAGTTAACATGTTAGTTTCATTCTTTCTAATGTAATTATTATGCTATTATCAATTTGTTACTATGCAGTAATCATGCAATTTTAAGTAACTGCTTAAAACCCAGAGTGAGGCATAGAAAT